CACACACACACACACACACACACACACAGCCATGTTATGTACAGAAAATGAAGGGCACACCCAAACTGCAAAATAAATAAATAAATAACAACCACAAAGGTGCCAAGCAGTGTATAACATACTAGTCTGGTCTAAAATGTAATAAAAAGAAAACAACATACAGACACATTGTGACAAGTCCAGAGGAGACAACATTTTATGCAAGCTACTGTATTTATTCACGTATAATACATAAAATTAAATACATAAAATCATCAATAAATTTGGGGGGTAGTACTATACTCGGATAAATATTTTTACTTATGTATTTTAACTGAAATATTGGCTTCATTCACAAAATGCCTGAGTCCGGAAATGAGACCGCGTCGTAAAAAGCAGGTGAAACGAGCTTACCTCTGAAACCCCTCTGTGCTTCAGAGCGAGACAATAACAGATCCAGGCAGGCGACATGATCTGAAAAAAAGGGGGGGAAAAAGCAGTCCTGCACCTTAGTAAGGATAGCGAACTAATGACATTAGCGTGTGACTGGGCCGCTCCTCGAACAACAACAAACACGTTTGTCTGTAATGGCAGCCATCTACCGGTGTTCTGAAAAAAGTTTTTATCCCTGAAAAAATGTTTCCCCACCAGAGGGGGTGCTCACGAGTAGGAAGTAATCTGCTTTTCCCCCACAAGATGGCCCAAATCTCATGTGAAGTCTCTGACTTTTGTGTTGGCCCATCCTGGTGGACTATGTGTGCGCTCTACAAGTCTCGTGATCGACTGGCAGTCAGTCGGCGATCGACTGGTAGATCGCGATCAACTGGTTGGGCACCCCTGCAACAATATGCTGGTGATTCAAAACACCAAATTTACACCAGTGTGTTTGCCACTTCTTTCATATGTTGGCAAATGTAGGGGTCACCTCAAGTTAAATTATCAAGAGGACTGTCTTGGACTCTCAGTCCTCTGATGGGCCTTCGAAGGGACAAAAACTCTGTTCCACTTAGAACTGAATCCAGGCCACCCCAGGTCGCCTTAACCATTCAAAGAGACATTCTCTTTCCTTCTAAATCAGATAAAAAACAGAAGAATCTTCTCTTATTTGATTTAGCGTTCTCTTAACTGAAAGTATTACGCATTTTGATAATCAGAGAATGTTTATCAAAGTTACAGGAGAAAAGAGGACAGATGTCTTTTCTCCCTCAGTATGATTTCAGCAATGTATGGTTTTTCTGTGGGAAAAATTCTTATTTAACTAAAATAATCTTTATGGTTTAAGTTGATGAAATATCAATGTTTTACTTGTCTGAATCGTATTTGCAAATGTTTTGAACTTGAAGC